CATTCTCGCTGTTCATGCTCTCAACCATCCAGAGTAAGAAAAAATTTTTGCGAGGAAACTTTAGTTGGCCTCTGTAAACCAGCCGAAACGACAAGTGGTGGCACCAAGGGCAGGAGATGAAGAGTGGCAGCTGGATTGGCAAAGTTGGGAACTTTATGACAGCCCACTGAAGTCCTAGAATACAGTTCTTGCAGAGGGTGTGGCCACACCATAGCACGTATGGCACATTCTCCACAATGTTGAAAAATTCCCAGCAAATTGGGCATTCAAGCCCTACTTCCTCGCTGGCACATGGAGAGGCATCCTCGTCGGAGCAATCAGGATGAGTAGCCTGGCTCGACTTCATAAGGTTGCTTCTTGGTCCTAAACTTCCAGCTATGGCACGTGAACCGCAACTCCACATTCTTACAGCAATGGAAGCAGCATCATCAGAATGACTTCTTTTCGGCAGCTGAACAACCAAAGATGGCATTCTTCAGGGGCAAGTCTGAATCAATAAACAAATTCTGGCTTACATATTGATGATACTATCAATCTCCTTAACCATATTGCTTTCAAGTTGTAACAGCTTAAAGAGTTGTGTAACATACAAAGGATAAGATAGTTCTATATTTATAGAGAATGATGAGCTAAGAAGAGAAAGATGACAGTTAGTAAGTAGCACTAATCTTAAATTAAGAACAAAGAGGAAAATGCCACATCTAATTCACTACCAACGAATACATTCATCGGTAGGACCGATCATTATTAACAAGATAGATCCAGTAAATGGAAGCAAAGATGAGAACCAAATGTTGATCTTTGTAAAAAGAGGGCTTAAAATTATGGGAAAATATCATTCTGTTCAGTAGGATGCATGCCAATCTTTCACTCTAGACATGCCATGTCTCTCGATCACTATGCTCTAATGACAAACTCAGTTTCTATCAGATCAGAGGTACGAAGTTACTGTGACAAAAACACACTGCTTCAAAGTTCTTACTGCAGATACATATTACCTAAGGACTAAACAATATTGCCCACATAAAGCTCTTTCCAAAGAAAAACTCTACATCATAATCGGTCCATGATAGATTAAAGGCAACTTAATACGCTATTATATAAGCTAACTCTATCTACCCTATGGCATGGACCAATAAGCAAACAATAATTTTAGTTTAATTTAATCGAATCTAATAAAAATCATGTCCTACCAAAATAATGTAATAAAACTCTTAAGCAATAGACTAAACTTCTGAATGATCCATGCTTCCCATGCCAAATAGATCAGAAACAATTGCATTAATACAATATATAGATGGTAACAAACAATGGCACACAATTGGAACACTAAAGGCTAAATCAATCAGGCTCAAATTTATTTACAAAATAAACAAGTAGTAACACATTTGACCAGCAAATTTGCTCCGATCAATCATATTTACATGGCATCTGGCGAAAAAAAGAAGCAGCATTTGATCTGATACCCATTTCATACTAAGAACTACACCGATTAATATCAAGGCACCTCGAAATAATTCAGTGCCACAATTGTCCACCATATTTGCTCCAATTACTCATATTCCAATCGCATCAGATGAAAAAAAAAAAGAAAAGACATCAGTATTTGACCAACACCATCGTAAGAACTGCACGGATAAATGTCAAGACCTCGAATTAAACTTAGCAGCTTCGAATTACAAAATATTGACCAGAGGCCAAGAAATTGAAAACCAAGACAAAGAATTCAGAATACGAACACGCATATTCTACATGATTTGCACTCAAACCACCTTAACCATCATAAAATATACCATTTCCATTAAAAAAAACGAATCTTTTTTCTTTTCCTTTTCAAACAAAGGAATTAATCACGTAAAGAATTGAATCAAAACCATCTCGATACCTATCAGACAAGGAATAGCATACCAACAGTGAAGGACGGGGAAGAGGAGAAGGATGGGGAGGATACGAAAATTTCGTAACCTTCCATTTCTCTCCCCTTCTTCCTCCTCCTCTTCCACCCCCCTCTCCCTCGGCATCACCAAAATGGAGGCGACATAGAACCGCATCTTATATAACAGACATTTATAACGTTTCCGATACATGCAAATAAGCGATACACAATTCCAACGGATCAACTTTTATCCGTTGGAATTGTAACAGAAACGGCCGTTAACAACCGACAACCAGGAGGTGATCTCAACCGTCGGTTCAAGAATGGATGTCCACCGTCCACAACCATTCTTCCCGTCCATTCCACGTTCGTGGGCAAAGGATGGTGATGTGGGCGGTGCTGCTTAATGCCGAGCGAGAACACAGAGAGGACAGAGATGTGTCTTTGTGTCTGTTCTTCAGGAAGAAGGCTTCTTGTCTTCACTGTTGCGTCGCATGGCCTGGTCCATGCAATGTGTGATCAAAGATGATCGAATTAATTTTTCTTGGTCCCCTGCGTAGTATAATTTTCCACTGGGAATGGCGAGTAGTTCGGTGAGTATGCGTAGTGCACCGTACGTGTTTGCTTTATTAACTCTGCCAATTTGATGTGTGGATTTGGCTCGAGCGACAGGCGAGAGCAATTGGAGTTAGAGTTTGGGGCTTCACCTCGATCGAGACTGCGCTGAGGTAACATCCTAACTGGATTTTACTGTTAATTTTCTTAATAAAAATTTCTTTTTTTTTTTCAAAAGATAATATCAGTAATGTTACACATATTTCATCACCTGGATTATGAGATGTAGAAATAATTGGTAGAAGATTTTCTCCTACTAATTGTTAGATTTTTTATCGATTGGTTGAGATCTAATTAGTCACATCTGAATAGATTGATAAATCAGTTTAAAAACCTTTATCCTCCTATATATATATGTTTATGCTCTTCTCTTTAAACTATTTAGCGAAAAGATTGAAGGATGGGATTTTGTTGGGAAGCATAATGCCAATCCACATTTTCTAAGAACAAAATGGTATGGAACAAAATAATTTTTTTGCAAGTGGCATCATATTACATTTTATTGTTCTTGTACAAAACCTAGGCATTAAAGGTTGAATTTGTTTGAACTGTTGATTACTCTATGGACAATATTTATATAATCGACGGAAGCTTTAGACCATGCGAACAAAATCATTTAGATAACCATCAAGAGCCTTACCCTAGAGAAAGAAAATAAAGCATTCTTGTAGTGTAAATTTATTGCTTTCCACTGAGCAATCATACTCCTCACTGTGTCCTAACATAATAACTAGTCTACAATGTGGCAGAGTCCATTGAACACCATGATAGGCCTATGTGTGCATGAAACAGAAACATAATATGTAACTCACACCTTTGCATTAGTTAACCAGTAAGTAAGCTTGATGAAATGGATGGAACCCAGTGGTCCATCCCATACTTGTGATCCAAAGCATAAGTGATCTATTTGCCTCTGTTGTATTTGGATTCAATGGTCAAAACACTTTGAACACTTTTCTAAAAAAAATTAGTGTTATAGCTTCTTTAATTGACCCCATTAAATTGAAGTTCACAAAGCCACACAAGAATCGGACTATCATAATCAGAGTGCATGTATTAGCTAACAAATCTAATCAACCTTTTGACTTATAGTGGATTAGCTGCTTTGCCAGCTCATAGCAAATCATTATCAATGAGAAGCCATTGAACAATGCTAGGAAATGGGAGACTTTTTCATCCCGGAATTCTAGTGCATGATGGACCTTTGGAATAACTCTTTAAAGGTGTTGGGACTGACCTCCATTCAATCTCACCACTGGTGACTCTAGAGTTTACAACAAACTATATTTAAGAACATTCCATTAGCATTCTGCAAGATACCTCCTCTCTTGCTAATCACCATTTTCTATCCTCATTAACTAGCTGTCTCTCCATTCAACTATTCCGAGAAAAAGCCTCATGCATTGGCTGTCAAGCCACCTGTTCCAACCTACCATAATCAAGTTCATGAGTGTTAACATGCATCAAATTTACTCAGAAAGTAACAAAGCATAGTCAATTATGATTGAAGATGCCTGAATACTTGATACCTGCCCATTGTGTTGGTCAGTGGGCACCATCAGTGTAGTCTGGAGCAGTTCATTTCCAGTGAAACTATTACTTCAAGTATCATCTTGGTGAATGCACAATTCTGAAGTATCCAAATGGATCATTTGGTCCATGGCAGTGACAGGTCTACAAACTTTTAAATCCTCCAATACTTACAATGTTAACAGTTTTGATAACTTGCAGCTGATTGATCATGGAGAAGGTCATTATTGTTTCTTTGTAGAGCTTTGGAGATGAGCAAGTCCAGAACAGCACTGACTGCCTCAGCAACAATGAGTGACAGTTGGGAGCAACACCTGGTAACTTCTGATAAATAATGGCAAATATTTTCTGGATTAATATGTTTCGTTATCTAGTGGCATTGCTTTTAAAAAAGACAAATGATCACAATAATCAATCCCAAATGCATCATTCAAGTAAATTTATATTTTGAATTTTTGGATGTCATATTTGGTGTTTTATCAACATGTATTCATTGCCATCTCGAGTAATATATAATTCAATTTGTTTATAAATTTTACATCAGTTGTTATGTGTTCTAATAATATTTATTTATCAATCTGATGATATAATAATTTTGACTGGACACCACTAATTACACTTGGGGAGGACACCACTGTGGGGCCCAGTAGGGTAAATCTTTTTTTGGAATTATTCTCCTCCTCGCACTGTTTCGGGTCCCATATAAGAAAGGTTTGGGTGCGGGGCCCTTTAAGACCCTCCCATATCTCGATCGCGTCGGTATCCCGTTCTCTTCGGCGAAGACAGCACGCTACATGCCGGCAGTCGCCTTGAGACGCCGTCGTTGCGCGCAAGATCGCTGAAGTGGGATCCTAATTCCTCTTGATTTCTCTACAGCGCTCGGAGTTGGTAGAAAGATGCGGTCTTGATGGGTATTCTGCAGCTTTTCTGACATCGCCTGCATATTCCTCGTGGAATCGAAAGGTAGTCCCCGTCTGCTTCATCCACTGATCGTTCTCCTTTCTTTTGGTTTCTTTGGATTTTTGGATCGACCTTTCCTCGGTTCTTGTTTGCTACGATGAAGAAAAAGCACTCCTGTCTACCGTATGCTGCAACTTTAAGATGATTCTCTGTTTTCCTCGTTATATATCTTTAAACAAGTGTTGGAAGTCATGACATCACCCCCATTTTTTGTTCTTCTCTCGGGTTTTCGTGAGTTGTTGATACCTGATGGTTTTCCCATCGGTTCTTTGGGAAGAAAAAAGGGAAACTATCTTTCTTGTTTGTGTTGGTGAAGAAAGTTACGTAAAGATTGGATCTTGATTACTGGGCCTTTGGAGCTTTGGTATTAATTCTTGATAGAAGAGTAAGGCTTTTGTAACTTTGCCAATTTTAAGGACAGTTCCTGTTGCTTGCTTGAATGTGCTCATCGGATGCTCTGACGTGCATATATCTTACATTGGATCTTTGTTCCTTCTCTACCGTGATATTGAAATTATCGTGCAAAAGAAATCAGTGATGTCGGTGACTTCTTTGTTTTGTTCCTTCTGTTCTTGGCATGGGAATAAGCAAAAGGTGCCGCAACTTTTGTCTTTCAAGAAACTGAATTTCACGCACTCAATTTTTCTCTGCACTCGATTATAAGGAGACCTGTAGAGTGAGATTGGAAGTGGTGTATTTTTCTGTCCAAGATGTTCCCTTTCTTTGCATTTTACCAAAAACGGACTAAGTTCAGTTGATCACCAGAGTTCAATAGTTCAAAATTTTACAAGTTCTATGAATGGAGTTGTTTGGATTATGAAATTTGTTTAGTTTTGAATAATGGATATTCCCCTCCTACCGAGAACATGAATTTCAGATATGTTTATCATCCAAGTATTTTTTTCCCCTAAATCATGAGTTTGGCTGTTACCACTCATTACAATCTTGATTCAGACATGAAAATAATCTTTGGTTTTTTTTTTCAAATTACATATAAATATCCTTTAGCTTCTTTTTTCACTTACTCAAAACTATAATTAGTTACAAGTTTCCATTTTCTGCATGTTGGTTGTGAGATATCAGTTATTAATATCTTAGCAATTTTGTTTAGAAGAGAAGTTTTGAAAATACTGAAAGTTGTATGCAGTTCTTATGTTCGATTCTTACATGGAAATTTACTTAATTCTTATATATAATTAGCAGCCAAATAACTTTTATGCATAAGTGTCTGCTCAACTTCAACCATGTAAGTGATTGATAATTTGGAAGTGGACTCTCTTCAAACACAAGTGAGGCTCACATATAAACTTCAACTTGTTCTTTTGTTAAATATCTGTTCATATGCTACCATATAGTATCCTACACCAATTCATATTGGAAAGAAATGGCTAAAGCAGATTGAGACAAAATATTGGTTGGCAGTTTGACTCTTATTAGTTGTTTGTTGAAGTGGCTTCTGAGTGAGGAATTGCACCTGAAACATTGTCGATACTATCACCTCTTTCACTTATTGATTCTTCAAATACTTTTGTTCTGGTGTTCCTAGAGAAAGAATGGATTATAATTGAAGTTGCAAAGACAAATGTAGTTGTAAGATAGAAATAATTTTGGTTGGTGGTATTGTTTTCCAATTCAAATCATTGATATCTAGATTCTGGTTGTTATTGAAAGACATAATACATTTTTAGCTCTTTTCTACATTTAGTATTAGCATGATAGTGTGATAAGGGTTATCCAACGTGGTCACAGTTTTGGGATCAAGAAGTAGGTGTTGATATTATTTCTCATTTCTTTCTGTATTTGTTAAATTTTAGTGGACTTTGTGTCCTTCATAAACTGTCTTTCTAGGTTTAACTTATGGGTTGAGCCTTAACAAATGACAATACGGTGCATCTTCAGAAAAAAACCTATGATTTGCCTTATCAGGAGTCTTACACTCAATCCGACTGGATATACTAATTTTTCAAAAAAGGAAAATATTAACAGTGTTTTTATTATCATTGGGAGCTCCATTACTGCATCTATTAATGGATTTGACGATTACCATCATGCTCTCTACATTTAATAATGATATTGGTCTGTAAATATAACTTCATTGAAATGCCTTGCTGATTCGTACAGCAATTTTCATCTGGTCAATCCTGAATCATATAGTGACGTTGTAGGCTTTTATCATGTTCCAATAATCTTTCTGTTGCAGGTTCACTCAATTTCCTTGATATAACTCGTATCCATTTGCTGGTTTGTAGAAGTTGATTTGTGCTTAGTGTTCGTACTTTATTTTTGTCACAGAGCGCTGGATATTTAATACTACATATCCTTGCCAATGACTGAAGAGGCAACAGAGAAGGTTACTGTCTCCATAACCCCTGAGATATTCAAACCTAAAAGTTCTGTAAGGAGATTATCAATGGGGAAAACAAAAACAAGAACTTCACCATGTTCTCCAGAAAGTGAGGAAAAGCCTGTTCCCCATTACCTTAGAACTTCTACAGGTTCTTGCCATGACTTCTGCAAGTATGGAATAAAGCATGATCTTGAAGCTAAGAAAAGGCGTCCTGCTCGTCAAATATTCTTAGCCAATAAAGAGATGCCTGATGATGAGAATAATCAAGTGAATGCTGCGGCTCAGCAAGACAGGAGAAAGAAAGTAAGCCATAAGATAGTGGTTTCTCAGGAAAAAGAACAACACACTAAAAAATCTGAGGTAATTAAACAGAATGACCTGCCACCTGAGAAGATAATTCAGCTTTGTGACTCGCTTACAAATTTGGCAGAAGGATCAGCTGAAAAGTATTCAAATATGAAGTTTAGTTTCCCTTCAACTGACCAGATGATTGATTCATTTCTTGGGCATTCACCTGCAAATCAATCTGATAATTCAACAGAGGAATCAACAAACATCAAGCTAATGACCCTGTCATCCATCTCAACAATCAATGAATTTGATGAGCATAAACCAACTAAATCGTCTGAAGTATTGTCTGAGAAGACTGTAAGCATCAAGCTTGATCAGACAGCAACTCAGAATGGTGATGACTCTACTGAGCTTGCACCGATAGAAGGATCATCTGCAGAACCTGTTATGGTAAAGCATATGGTTACAGCATCAACCCAACATATCAGGGATTCAGCCCTGCATACAACTGTGATGGAAGACACTGAATTTGCTGAGCATGTAACATCCAGTAGGCCAGACGCATCACCAGATAAATCTACAGAATTACCCAGATCGTCCAATTTACCCTCAAACATGAAACCTAAGAAATACAAGGATGTATCATCTGCTTGGAACGGACTTGCCAATGGTGCAGCAGGATGTACTGGGGAAGATTCAACCATGAAACGGAAAGCAACATTATCCACTGTACCTGCTACAGGTTCACCTCTATATCAGGAGGAAGAATTATCTAACCAAGGAAAACAGGTAATTAGTTCTAGTGTAGGTGCCGAAGCAAGGAGAGATGTGAACAAGCTCAAGAGAGGCAACAAAATTATTGGTATCTCTCACCGACCTAAAGTCATCAGACAAGGAAAGATTGATCTATCTGGGGTACCAAATGGCAAGACTGCACCAAATGTATGGAAAACAGTATCTTCTGTCAAGCCAGAGGCTGAACAGAGGATCATATCTGTAACACCTAGAGTAGTCAAGGAAAAAGCTTTATCAGCTAGTAAGAATGCCGATGCATCTCCTGAACGTGCAACCTCCATGAGAATCAAGAATCTATCATTTAAAACGATATCCCGATTGACTTCTTCAGGGGGACTAGCTCGAAGGAACAACGAGAGAATAATCAAGTTTTCAAGTCAATCAGACAGAAAAGAGAAAGTACTGGAACCATCATTATCCTCTCTGCCCATGAAACCTCATACTAGTAGAGTCTCAACCACAAAGCCAAGGATGTATAGGAATGTGGGCACTGCCTCCCAAGTGAAAAATCAAACACGAGCTGGAAAGTTGGGAATGAAGAAAGAGACTTTGAATGTCCGTGAGGCAACACCGGAGAAAATAAATCTCAAAACTATGAAGCAAGATCTGAGGAAGAACAAATCACATCCATCAGATGAGAAAGATCTTGACTCTGGTTCTAAACTTGGTGAAGTTTTACGAGAAGCGGTAACGCAGAGATTTCCCACTGTTATTTCAAAGGGTGAAATTCAGAGGAAACATAGAAGAACTGCAAGTGTTCACTTGGAAGATAAAATTTCCGCATCCCACAAATTAAAATTCAACAGAGGTAAGGTAGTCAGCCTGCAACATGAGAGCAATGCTCCAAGAATACTCAGATTCAGGCGGGCTAGAACAGCAAATAACATCCAAAATGCTAAAGGAGATGTATACACAAAAGGCTACAAAAGCAAGACAGGGCCAAGTGGTGCAGACTCAAATTCTCCTATGTCAAAAGCACCTACTGTTGTTTTAAGACATCAAGATGCGCAGGAAAAGAAGGATACCCAAGGTTTGTTAAACCAGGTGATTGAGGAAACTGCTAGTAAACTTGTGGAGACCAGGAAGAGCAAGGTGAAGGCCCTGGTTGGTGCTTTTGAAACCGTCATTTCTCTCCAAGACAGCAAAGCAGCTCCCCATGCTGTTCCATGAATACGTTCTGTTGCTTTGTCTTAAGGATCGGTTCTCATATAATAGTTTCTTCTGTGGCATTGGATATTTTTGGGGATTGGATTGCACAAATACCATGCCAACATATTGAAAGGTTTTCTAATTTCAACGTGAACAAAGTTGAGTATGAGATTGAAAGGGTAACATCTTTGCAGGGATTGTTTTGTGATGCTGTATTGTTCATAGTGATTCTGTCTCTTATTTCCCTACTCGGGGAATATATGTTTTTTTTTCTTTTCCATACTCTGTCATAAGCTTTGTTAATGATACACACATTTTGGAGTGGTTGAACAATAAATACATTGTGTATTCTTTTGTTCATTTTCTTCCAAATCTCTCTTTCTTGTCTGTACTTGTGTTTGGCCAAAGATATCAAGAATGTATGGAGTTGTAAGTGTGCAAACACTTTGTGCTGATTTCTTAGCTTTAGTTGAGTTTGCAAATGGTTGCGGTTCTCTTCTTCTCCATGTACCTATCCTTGTGCTGATTTCTTAGCTTTAGGAATCTCTCTTTCAACCAAGTGCTCTTGCTCTTTTTTATCTTCCAAGTTCATAAATGATATTATCTTGAGGATCGAATAATTCATAGATGACTTGGAGTGATGTTGAGAATAATAAGAGCTGCTCCTGTGTTCTGTTAAGGACATTAAAGAATGACATGTTTAGCAACCAGGGAGACAAGCCCTAAAAAGCAGAAATGACTCTCCAGATACTTACAGATATGATGATTCTAAGTTCCATGTGCTGATCTCTGATATCAATCCTATAATGAGGCAAAGAAGAAGACATCTAACAACTGTCCTATATGTTCTTTTCTTTTTCTAACTATATGTTTGAGGGTTTTTTTTTGTGTGTGGGGGAAAAAGTAAATGCTGTGGTATCTTGTGATGAATTATTCTTCTTCCCATCTTTTATGGAAGGAACAAAGAAGAAGAAAAAAATTGATGATTTATAGTCTACATTGAACAAAGGAGTAGAGCAATTTAGATCAACCTCATAAAGAGGAAGGCAGGCTGAATAGACTGCATCCAACCTTGGTGGCTGGTAGTCTTCAATCAATCCATAAGAATTTGAAATCTCAACTAGTTTCTTGGTCCCCTGTCAATTGTGTCATTTTGGTCCATGGTCAGCCTCCACCACAGTTTTTGGACTTGTTCCATCTGGTTTCCCTGTCTGAATTCCACAAATTGTCCCTGGTCAGCCTCCACCACAGCTTTTGGACATCTTCCATCTGGTTTCCCTGTCTGAATTCCACAAATCACTAAATGTTACAGATCCATCTATTTTGTTGCTCCTAGAAAAAAAGAGCAAGTCTTTGTTGTCAACCCCCTCCCCAACTGGTTGAAAGCAGGCATTTTTTGACCCTTGGAACCTTGATTTGTATCCCATCACACACACTCACACAAGAACATTATTATAATTTAATTATCAGTCATTAAAACTGTTATTTCTCAATGAAGAAAAAAAAACATCCATGCATTTGAATCATTAAAAAAACACACTTTTTTTTTTGTTTTTGCTGTCATGGCTGCCTTTGGAGAAGACTTTTCTTCTGACTTTTGATTTTTGTGCTCATCTTTCACCAGTCATGGCTGGAATATATCAAAAAGAATCGACCATTGACATTAGAAGTCAACTACTTAGGACTTTGGGTCGGAAACAAAGGTTTGATTCTTGTGATAATCCATTGAATATCGAGGCAACAAAGGAATGAAGAGTGAAAGTTTTGAATATACGTCAGCTACTTTGACTTTGATCGCCTTGCATATGGCCTCCCAATTATTGATAGTTCATCATAATTGAACAAATCCACATGATATATCAAGCAGCTAAGAACTCGTGACGAGGAACAGACCATCCGTTCTATGACCTCCATGCTCTGCTTTTTATCGGTCGAAGCTGCTCCACCAGAAAAGAAGTCACTGGAATCCTTGGCAGGAATGACATGCATATCATCCGATCATGAACGAGAGATTGGGTGGAGTTTGCTGGACCTATTCCCACAGTTCAATAATGCTCGATGAGTGTGCCTCTATATGCCAACACAAAAACAAAAATAGAAGAGGAAAACTATAGCTTTTGGATGATACATGCTGCCTACTAAAAGTAGCTCCAAAGTTGCCCAACTGTTCCCTTTGGTCAACCATCACCGAATTGAAAGGAACCTAACATCATCCAATGTGACCCTTCTTATCATGTTTTTAGATCCATCCTTTTCCCCTTTGTGGAGTGTGTATGTGCATATGTTTCTTTTTTCTGTCCCTGAGGTGACTCCAGAGCTATCCAACTGTTCCCCTCCGGGAAAACTATTAGCGAAGTGCAGGTGACCTTTTGACATCATCGTCCACTGCGATCCTTTTCTCGCGTCTCGAATCTACCCATTCTTTTATATGTTTATATATAAATATTTCTCTGCTCGCTGGTTGGTGACAGCTTAGGATATGCAGTAATTAATGGAGTCCACAAAACATTAGGGACAGAGAATTTGCTTTCTTTTATTATGTTCTTGTCTTGTGATCTACTTACTTTAAGATGTTCCATGGGAAGCTAGTGGAGCAAGCATGCATATCTAGTGATGGTATTTATTGGGATAGCTTCAAACTGGACCAGCGCAAAAAGATAGCTTAAATCTGGCGCTAAATCAACCGAATCTAATTCGAGTTGGCGAAATCTGACCCATCTCACGCGCCGAGATTTCACCTGTCGGGATTCGTTGGAGAAACCAGCGAGGATAAGAGAAGCCAAGCCCTCATCAAGAGGAAAGGCTGCGGCTTTGGCACCGGAAAAAGCTGTTCTCGTTCATGCGAGGATCTCTGTTGGTGTAGCAGCTGGAGACCCTGGTTAGCTGTGTTACAGGTTTGGTACGAGGTCTTTCTTTCGATTTCTTCGATTCGTTTACTCAAAGATCTTAGCTTTAGCTGTTGTTCGATCGGTGTCTAAGATACGGAAGAGATGTTCGATCTAATGGTTTCTCATTTCTTCAAGCTCTTCTCTTCTGTCTGAAGAGATGGAAATTTCTGGCAAAATTCCCACTTTACTATGTCGATTTTGATGCAGTTTCGTATGTCCGATTCCAATCTTTTTGTCTTAATTGTTCCTGGAATTCGATCTCTAAGATGGAAGATGAATAAAATGTTCACCTTGTTTCTCTTTTAGATTTTTCGCTTGTTTTTTATCTGCATTAAAAGTCGTGTGTTTGTGTATGAGAAGATCATCGAATTCTAAGATTGGCTTCGATGACAAGCATTTGGCCACCCATTCTTTCTGCTGATAAAAATTGGTCCTTGTAGCTTCAGACATACTCTATCTATGTTCTTTCTTTTTATTGTAGTTCATCTTAGGCCCCAAGCAAAGAATGCAAGGTAGTTCTTCTTAACACTGTACTGTAAACAAAGTGTGGCCAGCTCTTCTTTGGGAAATCGATGAACAGTAGAGATGTTCTTGTATTCAATTTACGTGTTTTGGATTCTATGCTTCGAGAAGATGATTAATCTGTTCTTCATGTGAGCTCTTCAGCTTCTTTGACCGGAGCATCAAATCGTTGGAGCCGGAGGAATGATTTTACAGCTTGTGTTGTTTGTACTCTGTTCCATCGGTGGAGCTCTCTCTGAAGAATCCCCAGATGTAACGATCATAGTCAAAGGATCTGATCTAGCTGCTGAGACTGATGATACTTTTGTCTGTGCAACTCTTGATTGGTGGCCTCATGACAAGTGTAACTATAATCAATGTCCATGGGGACAATCTTCGGTTCTGAATCTGGTAATATATATTTTTTGTCGAGATAGTCTAGTCAGCAAGAAACATCTGGTTTATTTGCACTCTGCAAAAAATACTAACAAATATTTTGGTTCCATGGTTTTTCAGGACTTATCGCATCCTTTCCTAGCTAATGCCATCCAAGGTAACCATTCTTCGTTTTGCTTCTCAGTTTGTTTCATAATTTTTATTATAGCACGTAAAAAATCTTAATTATTATAGTTGCATTATCACATCATGCTAGGAGGATGATGATGATGATCACCACTTGCGTCCTAAAATTGTGTCGCAAACTGCTAAGAACCACCAATAGGACTATCTATCTGAGCTGTTTGCCATGTGATTATGTACCTCATTTTGAGTTTTTGTTTGCAAAATTTCAGCTTTTGATCGTTTGCGGATACGAGTTGGAGGCTCCTTACAAGACCAAGTTGTGTATGGCGTGCCAAGTTTGGAGTATCCATGCCTTCCTTTTTCCAAGATGAGTGGTGGCTTGTTTGGTTTTTCTAAAGCTTGCTTGAGCATAGAAAGGTGGGACGAGCTAAACCTTCTTTTTCAGAAGACGGGGTAGGTTTGTGAAGAAGTCTCTGTTTTTCTTCTTGCTGTTAGGTTATTCATGCTACATTGAGATGAATCCGAGTAGACAATGAATATGGACCAAAAACTTTTTCGCGGATTATCTGTTTGAACTACTTTGCATCAGCTGCTGAAGCCATCAGAATTAAAATGTTGCATGCTATTTCCATACCTGTTTGAGTTCATTAGCCGTGAGAGCTAATATAGTTTCTGTGATTCAGTCTACCTATGTTTGACTTGGATGCTCCTATGATTTGATGGGTTAAATAAGACCATAGCACTGGGCTCCTACGATGAAAATAAACTCGGAAGTGAAAAGCGCCATAAGATGTTAGTCCCTCCTAAAACTAAATAGACAGGTGTGAAGCATGCAAAATAACTAAGTAATCTACATAAAAAGGTAGCTACATAAGCAATTGGTATTTGTCATAGTTGCTTTACTCGATGGCTGTATCTTGATATATCATGTGAGAAATCATTGATATTAACAGATATTTGAGTTATATGTGCATAAGTAATTCTAACATTCCATACCATCTTTTATCACCAAAAAATAGCCCTTTAAAAAGAACAATATGCATTTTCTTGTTATCTGAACTATAAATTGGCCATGACTATGCAACATAAGTCTTAATTTTGTGATTGCAGAGCGATTATCACATTTGGTCTGAATGCACTACGTGGGAGGCACCGTGTACACAACGGTCTGTGGGCAGGTGATTGGAACTCCACAAATACTCGAGATTTCATTGAGTACACAATCTCAAAAGGATACGAGGTTGATTCATGGGAATTCGGTAAGTCTTTTCCCATACTATTTTTTCAGCAAGAAAAATCCAACCGACCAAAACTCAAAGGCGGGTTGCTCGATGCTTCAGGAAATGAATTGAGTGGAAGAGGTATCGACGCAAGAGTTAGTGCTGAACAATATGCAAAAGATTTGGTTGTCCTTAGAGCTCTTCTTAAGGAGTTATATGAAGATTCAAACACGCAACCGATGCTAGTTGCTCCTGGAGGATTCTTTGATCAGCAATGGTATGCTCAGCTTCTACAGGATTCAGGTCTGGGTGTTGTCAACGTCATGACACATCATATATACAATCTTGGTGGAGGTGAGTGTAGAAATGTGATACTTCAAATGTAGAAAACAACATCTTTCGAGGAAATTTTCTTTTATGACGTAAGATGCATTAAAATGTTATCCAAAGAGAGACGAAAACGAAATAAATCTGGTTAATCTTTTTGTCCTCTATTCTGGTTAAAAATAACCCTTGATATATATCAGGTGAAATAACAGAAATCAAATTAGATAACTGGTACTCCCAATTATATCTTACCAGAAATAAGAGATCCAGCTCCTTTTGACTTTTTATTTATATGTAAGATTTGTATGCCCATTCTCTTTTCTTCTTCTATCTTGTGAATAGCAATGCCAGCTAAAAATTACATTTTCATGCTTTTGTACTCGTCAACACCAGTATCCCTTGCTGACTCCTTATAATACAAAGTCCTATCGTATTCAAGAGGTTACTAAACTTATTCCAACAACAGATTCCACTGGCAAACTAAGAATTCTCATCGTACCTTTTGATACAATCGTTATGGTTTTAGATGGTGCAAATATAGCTGCTGTCTATAATATCTAATTTTCATATCTCGCAGTATGGAAGAAGCAAAGTGCACAACTTCAGTTCATCTGTTGTTTCTTCAGGAGAAAAGTTCCAGATTCAATATACATTTTTAGAGTTCATATTTGCATTGATGTCATTGCGAACGGTAGATATGCAAGAAAGAACTGATAGAAATACAACGCAACCTCATTGTTATGCCAAAATCTTTGAGTTGACAATTCAGAATTCATGAAATGTAATATTGAAAAATTTATAATAAAATATTTCGATGAAACGTCAGTCTGACTGTTTCTGCAGGCGATGATTCCCATATTGAGAGTAAAATAATGGATCCTCAATATTTAAGTCGGGTAGCAGATACATTCAGAAATCTCCAACTTACAATAGAAAGACATGGACCATGGTCATCTGCTTGGGTAGGGGAAGCTGGTGGTGCATTCAACAGCGGAAGCCGTCTTGTCTCGAATACATTTCTCAACAGCTTCTGGTAATTCACTTTGTATTTTTCTTGCATCTCCAGTTTCATGCAACAACATAGACTAAATACCTGTTTGACACTATTCAGGTACTTGGATCAATTGGGCATGGCATCAAAGTACAACACTAAGGTTTATTGCAGGCAGACCTTGATTGGAGGGAATTATGGTCTCCTCGACACAGACACTTTCATACCGAATCCTGATTACTACAGGCAAGACATCCAAAACACTAAGTATTTTACAACCCTGTCCTTGGAAACATAAGCACACCTCAAGCCAGCCCGTATTGATCCTCCTGAATCCTCTTTCCAGTGCGCTACTGTGGCATCGGCTAATGGGGAAAGGAGTACTTTCCGTGGATATCAGTGGCTCATCATACTTACGAGCCTATGCCCACTGCAGGAAAGGAAAGGTACATATTTCTGTAGACAAGCATTCTTGATTGATTTCTGTGTAGACTTTATTGATGTGGTTGATGTTCTTTAAACACTTGGGCTTATACATTCAATTTGCTGCAGCTATACTTAATAATATATTTTCTTTTGGTACACAATTTCCTTTTTATCGTTCTACAATCCAACCGCAGAACACCTGAAAAGGTCCATATGCTGAGATATTGTTTGTTCTTTCAAAGAATTGCAACATTCACAAACTTGAAAGTCTATTTTTCAAGTTTTACATTCTGAACTTGTAATGCACTTCAGGAACCTGTAAAAGTTACTTCTAATGTGCTTCTTGATGATAACAGGCAGGCATCTCTCTAGTCTTGATCAACCTAAGCAAATCCACCAAGTTTAGTGTGACGGTCCGAAACGATCTCAACGTCATTCTGGCCGAGGGGGAAGGCATTCACAAGGAAAATTCCTTCATCCACGGTCTTAAGAGAACATTCTCCTGGGTGGGCAAGAAAGCATCAGATGAGTCGGAAAAGAGAGAGGAGTATCATCTAACCGGTAAGGATGATAACCATCTAAGCCGAACTGCGCTATTGAATGGCACTCCTTTGGAGCTCACCGAAGATGGAGATATTCCACCTCTGGATCCTGTACATGTTCCAACGAACTCCCCTGTAGATGTATCACCCTTGTCTATTGCATTTGTCGTTTTCCCCAACTTCGAAGCTCAAGCTTGCGCCTAACCAGGATGCACCGCTTAGTGTCGTATCCTATTGCGCATGATATCTGATTTGTTTTGACAAATTTGTATCGTGTAACAGTTTGGTCATTGGATCAAAATAAGTTCTGTAAGTTGTTCATGTGAGCAAAATAAGATGTATGATGAATTTTTATCATGAATTATCTTCCATATTTCATACGGATTTGGGAAACAATTTTCCCTTGTTCTTAGTTGCACTTCGTGATGACTTCAGAGTCAAATCCAGCATATGAAGTCCACTATTAAAAGATTTACTGGTCTCCATTGATCTGCTCTCAAAAGAATGCCTCTTTCTGGGTTTCAATGATTCAAATCTCTGATTACCTCTGAACCATCAAAATGGATGGTCTATCTAAAGTGGATGCATCAAAAGTCGAATGTCTCACTAAAACCTTTAACATCTATCAGCCAAATGATCATGCAATATAAATCCTACAAGGTTTCAAAATTGATCATGTTGGTCACTATAAATCGATATGTACCAGTCCGAACAGAAAAACCTACATCAAAATAGATAACTCGATATCTGTACATTACAAAGAAGCCAGTTTTGGGTTCTTGGCTGCATCTCCATTAAGTCTATTGATCTCAACTCTCAGCATTTCAATGTTGGTGCCACCAATCATGTTGCAGCTTATCTCCAAATTTCACCATACATTTCAACATTGAATCTCCAAAAGTTGTGCCCTTTCTCCCCTCAAAATATAAAGAACACTGCTCTTCATGCATTCTCTATTACAGATTTCTACTTGGAGAGAAATTAGTACTGAAAACTAAAGAAACCTGCCAAAGTGATAATAGAGATCTGATTGCACTGGAAAAGAGACGGCAACAATTGATCACATGGAGATGGACACAATCGACATCATGGTAAAAGAGCAAGATGACAATAGCAATCTAAGAAAAAGAATCAACTGCACATTTCAATATCTTATGATTTAAGACAAATATCCTAGAGTTCCCCAAAATTCATGAGGGGTTACTGTCAAAAGTGAAACATCCATGACCTCTGAATTTAGAGGGCAAATAAAGAACCCAAAATGTTAAAATTAATAAAGAAACCCAAAAAATAAAAATAAAAAGAAAAAAGAAAAGATAATCTGCATGAAGACAATCCAATCCTGGCTTCAGTATGTACGGGGCATGCGAACTGATGCTCCACCAGTAGTGATCTGAAGAACATCACTTGTTCCAAAACGGGGTCATGCATCCTCCAGAATTGTTTGAAGAGTTATCTTTAACCATACAAATACTGAATACTATCTTACAAAATTGAAAAGAATCTTCCATGGCACCAGTAAGTGCAGCCGCTTGATCAGACAGGTCCACGAAGAATCCGTTCAATTTGACTCAACTACTATATCGACTGAATTCTTGATTTATTCAATGGTTGCTCAAATCGAGTGAAAACTGAGCTGTCACTGCATCTGTAATACTACCCTGCTTTATGTTTACGGTCTTTAGTTTTGTGGAAACCATTGTGGCTCCAAGATATGACAGTTCCTTATGAAGTCGTTCAAATAGTTAACGTGCTTTGTCCAAAATGGCTGGAGGCGCTTAAATCCGATCTCCAGCCATGGTTTGCATTGCCCATTGTAGTGTATCACAGCAGCCTTCCTCACCCTCTCAAGGTCTGTCGATTCCTGATAGCCCAAACCGAGCATATGCCATGATGGGTCTATAGGATGCACATAATTTCTGAATGCTATGAGGGCTGGAGGCAACGTTCCGAACTTCCACAGTGTCAGGTTTGACTTTAAGTTCTGCAAATAAAATAAAATTAAAAGGATACAAATTAGAAATTTCAGTCGGAAGATGAAGCTACAAGCTTTTATCTATGAAAAGATCTAGTGCATTTAATCAATTATATTTCTTCTAGCATCTGCAGGCCAGGAGGGTTAACAGGCTCGAATTCGGTGTCAGAAGTCCAAGGTAAAGTATATATAATTAACAATCAAAATTTTTATAAGACCATAATTATCTTTATTGACATTAGGCTTAACCAGGGGCCTAGGTTTCACAGACAAGTATAAAATTCACTTTGTACGCAGAGGTAAGATGTTTATAAAAAAGGAGCAGAGCAAAATTGTGGATTGCATTTTCCATGTCAAGGAAGTGAAACTTGGAACATAAATTCCAACCAAGTACATCTACATTGCATCTGCAGAATCTTCCAAAGGAACTGTGAATCAAATTTACTATAACATTTTTGCTAGAACATAGAGAAGAACTATTATCTGAGAGCACAACAATTATCAACAGAGAAAAAGAAAATGTTATAATTAATACTTGTTCAATGACAACAGGAGTGGAACAGGAATCATAACAAAACCAGAAGGCCCAGAAAGGTGACATTAATCTTAAACTGTTTCCAAAAAATTGGTAATACCAAGCCACAAAATTACTCCTTGAATAGATATTTCAGCATGTAATAATATGTTTTAAAAGATATAGCTGGACTGAAAATGTGAGGGTTAACAGAAGGAGGAACTATCTCAGATGCATGCAACACAATTATATATGTCAAGATCAAGACTTGCTTGCTTGTACCTGGTCTGACACCTTTCCCATTGGTCTTCCTCCCTTTAGAACTTTGATTCCTATGGACATTTTGGTAATCACCTTAGTCATGTAAAAATTTTTTTATTAACAAACACAGCTATCAGGTCCCTGAATCATGGTAGTACCCCAAATTTGACCAAATTAGGTGCTTGCAGTATCTTGAAGACTAAAAAATTAATGCTAAGATAAAGAATGTGCACCAAGGATGTCTTAGCAAAGCATAGAAGAAAAGTGGCATACATGATCTAAGTGGTTATTTAGAAAGAACTAATTGTAAGATTTGACTCAGTATTTAAAGAAAATTGCAGCAGTCATCAGGACTAAAAAATGTTTACTTTTCGAATACTATTTAGCAAAGTTGGCATCAATCATAGGAGAACAAGAGTAAACACATTTAGCTTGCACTATTTTGGTAGGACAAGAATAATTTTGATGGTAAGTAACTAGCTTAGTAAACTTAGTCCATCAGCAACTTGGAGTTCATTGAAAATTGAAAATAAAAATTGTATCTTTATGGTTCTTAACAGAAAGAAAGATGGTACAGAAAAAGACAAGCAATGATATGACAGACAATACCTCCTTCACCCAGTAGTGGTATGTTTTTCTAATGCTCGTCTTCCTCCAGGCATTTAAATCAAATACATTCATCCCATATGCCCATGCACACTCATCAGGGTCCAATTCATTGGCTATGAGGGGATGTGAAAAGTTGAAATATGTCCTGAAGTGCTTAGCCATCACCAGAGTATCTTCACCTTTGCAAGTTTCTACAGCACCATTTACTTTTCCAAGAAGATCAATCTCCCACAATGGTGACAAGTCATGTTGAACAACAACATCATCATCAAGAAACACCACCGTACTGAGGTTTGGAAAGAGCTGTTTAAAATGTTATATTAAAGTCCAGGACATCAAAATACAGGCACACCAACATAATACTAGAAAAGTTGGACAACATAGTACCAACAATAAAATTGTTATTTACGGTCTTACCAAAGGTCAGTACAGCATAAAGCTTGGTACTGGTCAGCACTCATTTTTTGTTTTTTTACTGATACCAAGCATTAGACATTGGTATGCTGCTTGGTATGTTAATCGAACAAGTTATTGAAATGGGTAAAAGTACATGTGTCAACTGAAAATGTACCCGCCATCCAAACAAGCATATATTTTACAATAATTCTATAACCTTAATTATCACATTAGCAAAAGTTCCATATAGCAGAAAGTGTCTCAGAAATACATACAAACTAATTTACCTCAGGCAGGTATATGCGCAAATGGCTGAGCAGAGAAATAAATTTTGAACTCCTCGCCTGCAGTTTAGAAGCAAAAATCATTGGACTGTCACCAACATTCACGCCCATGATATGATTTCCATGATAGTGGTTTCCCACACCATGGTGATTTTCAAAAACTTCAAGAAGAGGCACATTATCTCTTGTTAACCAGTCAAATTGGTGAACTCCTTTCACCTCAATTATAGCAGGGGAAAGATGATTCAAAGCAAACCATGAATGCATGCTTGGATAAGTCATCTTGTCAGTTATGACATGGAAGACAACCCTTTCAGGTTGTAATGAAGATCTTACAACAGATGTGACCACAACAGAGGCTGCCAGAATGTTATCACTGGCTACAACAAAATGGTGATATGAGTTATCAGAGAGCAAATGTAGCAACTCTGGTGGTGGCAACTCCTTACGAGCTTGGGCGTTGGATGAATACTCATCAGTCAAACGCAAAGAGAGACAATGCATGCCTTTGGGAATACTAGTTGCAGCAAAATATTTGTGCAATTGTTCTGCCAGTCTTGATCTTTTCACCTCCCTATCCATATATTCCATCTGCATATAAGAAACAAGTCAGAAAGTTCAAAATCCCAAAGAAATTCACTTGATAAGCTGTTTGTAAATTGTTTAGCATTCATATCTAGAAAATATAAAAATGATTGGAAGTGCCAACCTTTTCTGAAATTACCAACAAAAGAATATTTAATCAGTTGAAAAGAATATATAGTCAGATTAAAAGTTGTTACCAAATTTCTTCCATCTGATTTTTTCTATCTTAACAGAAGGAAGTTTCATCTTTCTTCAATTTAAAGGATAGCCAAATTCATCTACGAGTAACGCTATTAATCTGAAGGACACCCTCAAAGAATTATTTTTTCTTTGTAAGTAATGCTATTTGTCCGAAGAATATTCACACGAATGGTTAAGACATTCCATCATCCTGTACTGTGACAAACAGGTAGACACCATGTTCTTTAGGAAAAGACAGAAAGGCATATCCTTTTTTCCTGATATATTTGAAGTGTGCTGGATCAGACAATAACTCAAAGGCAGAATTGTTTATTATCTTGAGAGGTCATGTACTCATGTAAAGAGCAAACAACCTTCAACCTTCAGTTATGTTGGATCGTAATATTAGATTTGATGATAATATCCAATGTCATACATCAAACCAGTTGACACTTGTCAGATGCCAGGCGGTACATCCTGTGCAAACCTTGTACCACCTAGTACTCTCAGTACAAGGCCTGTACGTCTCAGTACATGACCTGCACAACCCTGTAGTTATTTTATCTTTCAACCTTTTTCTTCGGA